CATACGCACACACACGTGCACACCGTGCTCATCTACTGAGCCACACTGCTGCTCACCACGCACACTCACCACCCAGTGCTTACTCACCACCCAGTGCACACTCACCACCCAGTGCTTACTCACCACCCAGTGCACACTCACCACCCAGTGCTTACTCACCACCCAGTGCACACTCACCACCCAGTGCTTACTCACCACCCAGTGCACACTCACCACCCAGTGCTTACTCACCACCCAGTGCACACTCACCACCCAGTGCACACTCACCACCCAGTGCTTACTCACCACCCAGTGCACACTCACCACCCAGTGCTTACTCACCACCCAGTGCACACTCACCACCCAGTGCACACTCACCACCATGCACACTCACCACCCAGTGCACACTCACCACCATGCACACTCACCACCGTGCACACTCACCACCGTGCACACTCACTACCCACTACACACTCACCACCCAGTGCACACTCACCACCATGCACACTCACCACCGTGCACACTCACACACCGTGCACACTCACTACCCACTACACACTCACCACCCAGTGCACACTCACCACCATGCACACTCACCACCCAGTGCACACTCACCACCATGCACACTCACCACCCAGTGCACACTCACCACCCAGTGCACACTCACCACCATGCACACTCACCACCGTGCACACTCACCACCCACTACACACTCACCACCCAGTGCACACTCACCACCCACTACACACTCACCACCCAGTGCAGACTCACCACCCACTACACACTCACCACCCAGTGCACACTCACCACCCACTACACACTCACCACCCCACTACACACTCACCACCCACTACACACTCACCACCCAGTGCACACTCACCACCATGCACACTCACCACCCACTGCACACTCACCACTGTGCACACTCACCACGTGCACACTCACCACCCACTACACACTCACCACCCACTACACACCACCCACTACACACTCACCACCCACTACACACTCACCACCCACTACACACTCACTACACACTCACCACCCACTACACACTCACCACCCAGTGCACACTCACCACCATGCACACTCACCACCCACCACCCACTCACCACCCACTACACACTCACCACCCACTACACACTCACCAACCACTACACACTCACCACCCACTACACACTCACCACCCAGTGCACACTCACCACCATGCACACTCACCACCCACTGCACACTCACCACTGTGCACACTCACCACGTGCACACTCACCACCCCACTACACACTCACCACCCACTACACACTCACCACCCACTACACACTCACCACCCACTACACACTCACCACCCAGTGCACACTCACCACCATGCACACTCACCACCCACTGCACACTCACCACTATGCACACTCACCACGTGCACACTCACCACCCACTACACACTCACCACCCACTACACACTCACCACCCACTACACACTCACCACCCACTACACACTCACCACCCAGTGCACACTCACCACCATGCACACTCACCACCCACTGCACACTCACCACTATGCACACTCACCACGTGCACACTCACCACCCACTACACACTCACCACCCACTACACACTCACCACCCACTACACACTCACCACCCACTACACACTCACCACCCACTGTGCACTCACCACGCCCACACTGCCCTGCTGCGTGGGGAGGTGACGTGCCTCTGATGCATCCGTTCATCGATTACAATCCATTCTCGTGATGCAATTACATTTCACGCGAGTTCCATGGCTAATGAGAGGCGGCGCCACTTAAGCCGGTGGCACAAAACTGCACGAGGGAGGCAGAGAAAGCGAAGGCGAAGACGGGTGGCGACCCTTGACGTTTATTATCGACCACAAATCCGCGAGCCGTCGCTCACATTGGCTCCGTCTGGTGACGCTGCTGCTGCTGCGTGGGCAACAGCAGCAGCAGCAGCAGCTGCGTAAGCAACAGCAGCAGCAGCAACGTGCGCGCGTGTGTGTGGCGTTTAAAGGGAAAAAATATATAAAATAGGCGACGTTTCGGGTAATGTCCCTCCTCCTTAGCATGTGAAGTCGTGCTATGAAGAAGGCCCATTGCCCAAAACGTCACCGATTTTCTATATTCCATACTCTTTGGTTCTTTCGGTAAATTCTAGATTTGAAGCTTTCGTGACTGCAAGGATTCATATTCTTAGGTTTTTTCGGTAAAGTCACGTAGGTAAAAAATTTAAATTAATAAAAGTAAAATTAAAATAACAATAAAAATAAAATAAAAATCACGGCAACACAAGCCTCCGTCTTCAGGTGGAACCGTCACAGCACGATAGCAAACCTAAGAATATCTTTCGGTAAAGTCACGTAGTTAGAAAAAGAATAGATCACGACGTTTCGATCGCAACACAAGCAATCGTCATCAGGTGGGACAACCACAGCAAGAAACAAAACTGCTGTGTTTCATTGCGCACGACGTTGATATCGACACGGCTCGCTCCCGGTTGCTTCAATCGACCCGCACCGGCTTCGTGCCTCGCCTCCCACGAGACACCAACAGCGGCACTCGCCAGCAAACGGAGTGTCAGTGACTGGGTCGGTGGTACCTGTGTGTGTGTGTACTCCTTGGTTCTTTCGGTAAAGTCACGTAGGTATAAAATGAAATCACGGCGTTTCGGGCGAAACACAAATCACGACGAAACTTCGTGGTTTCATTTTATTTAATACCGACGTGACTTTACCGAAAGAACCAAGGATTACACACACACACACACAGGTACCACCGACCCAGTCACAGAGTATCGATCCCTGCAGTCACGAAAACTTCAAACCTGTGTGTGTGTTTTTATTCTTTACGTATGCGATGTTTAGATTTGTGTACAATGAATTTTAGGCGTATCTTGTAATTGTATGTTTGTTGCGGTTGCACCCAAATCAAGAGCCGAATGGCTCACAGGGTAAATCCTAACGAATGAAACTCAAACTGTGTTGTCCCCACCTACCCACCCGCTGCGCCCCCAGCCGGCATGAACATGCTGTACGTGCGTCCGGGCAGCATGGGCGTCCACAAACCGCCGGGTTCCCCGTCGCCCGCCGACCGCCAGAGGGAATACCTCCTCGACATGATTCCGTCCCGCTCGCTGCCCAAACCCGGCACGCCAACCCCGTGGAAGTGAGCGCAGTGGACCGGTCCGGCCCGGGGCGTTGCGCTCCAGAGGGGGCAGCCGCAAACCACCCCAACACCACCACCACCACTCCCTCCCTCCGCACAAACTCCCACCGCACGAGGCGAGATGGACCGGCCTGCCGGGGACGTGGAGTGGAGGCAGAGCTCTAGCAACCACCACCTGCACTTCCATAACCATCACCCCCACCTCTGCGTGACATGGTGAAGTCCGGCTGTCAGAGGTGGGGGGGGGGGGGGGGGCAGCCGGGCACGACTATTGCATGGCGGGCACTACCATTGCGTGGTGGTCAAGGGGGGGAAGGGGGGGGGGTTTGTGGGCCCGTGTGGTGTTCGTGTCTTTGCACTTGTATTAGCAGAGGAAGAGCCCATTCTCTTTACATTGAAAATGTTAGTGATGTAGTGGAGCTGAGCGTCAATCATAATTGTAATATTGAAACAAATGGAGGGTGGGGGGGGGCGGGGGGGGGTGGGGTAAGATTTCCTTATTGCATTTTTTTTTACCAAGACGTACGAAGATAAAGCACTTTCACTCGAATGCAGAGCATCGTGCAGAGCATCGTACCATTAGAGCATCATGCATAGCATCGTGCAGAGAGCATCGTACAGAGAGCATCGTACAGAGAGCATCGTACAGAGAGCATTGTGTAGGGGCATCGTGTAGGGGCATCGTACGGAGCGAGTGGTGGTGGCGACGGGAGATCCGCGCGACGCGGCCCCGGCCCCATCGCTGCCCTCGCAGCAGCGAAGACGCCCCCCGCCCCTGCCCCCCGCTCCTGCCCCCCTCTTGAAAAACAGCAACGCAGCCAATCACAGTTCCGCTGTGGGGGGGGGAGGGGGCGGCAGCGGCCCTGTCACGGGGGAGAAAGTCGGTGGCAGCAGCAGAAACA